ATATATATATATATTATATATTTTCTTACGATGGTGAGGTAAGCTAGGGGACTTAAAGGTTGATTTTGGGGTCTCAAAAAACCTATAGCCTTGAGACCATGGTTGGTTGCATCTGAAGAGCCTACTGCTATATTCTAGGGTTGATCGTTATTCCTTATTCATTTTGACCAAAAAGGGTTTAGTACATGGTCAAGATCATAGCCATCCAATAGTACTTCTTTTGTTAAACTAGGGAGTCTATAAAATTTTTTATCTATGTTCGGAAGATATACATTGACTCATGAGGACACCACATCGGCAGGGCCGAACTTTTAATACCCCCACCTTAGGGTAATGGAAACAGTAGAACCAATTATGACCCACAAATACCAATTTTTAGACATATTCGTGGGAAAATGGGACTAAAATCATCAAAATAGCAAATATCGGGAGGTACCGCTATATGGAGGCTATACCAAAACGTGAACTTATACATGCAATGTTTCGCCACCGGAGCTAGAACTTATTAGGAGCTAGAACCCACTGTGACCAACAACTACCAATTTTTAGACAAATCCATGAAAAAATGTGGCAAAAATCATCAAAATACCGAATATCGTGAGATACCGTTATATGGGGGCTATAACAAAACGTGGACCTATACACGCAATGTTTCACCACCGGAGCTAGAACCCACTGTGACCAACAAATACCAATTTTTAGACAAATCCATGAAAAAATGTGGCAAAATAATCAAAATACCGAGTATCGGGAGGTACCGTTATATGGGGGCTATACCAAAACGTGGACCTATACATGCAATTTTTCGCCAACGCAGCTAGAACCCACTATGACCAAGAAATACCAATTTTTAGACATACCGTATACCAACCATCCTACTGTAAATTTTTACGCTCTACATCATGATTTCAACAGACAGACGGACATCGTGAAGTCGACTTAGAATTTATATATATATATACATATATATATATATATATATATATATATATATATATATATATATATATATATATATATATGTATATATATATATATATATATATATGTCAGGGGAATGATTCGGGGACAGTAAGGAAAAATAAAAAAATGCTAATTTTTAATTAAATTTTGACTAAATTAGCACATATCACCCGATATCTGGGTAATATAATGAATATATTAAGTTCTATCACGTTTTATATTCCTTAAGATTTGTTTGAGGTCATCTCTTATATAGCGAATCATTTCGGCCAATGTACCTGGAACACCCTCTTAATATACAGCGATATGGGTTGCCATCACAATGTTATATTTTATAATTTTTGTCTTGAGTTAAATTGACGCCGACAAAATTGAACGAGCTCGCCTTCGTTTAATTATGTTTTGGAAAAATGCATGACACACATTCACGCTCACACATTCACGCTCACGTTCTTTGTCACAATCTGACCAACAACTTTTGTTTGACGGCAAATACAAAAAAAGCTGATTTGGGAAACAAAATTATGGCTTAACTCAAGTTTAGTAAAAACTCTTAAATTTTTTGGAAATTCTTTCTTTCCTGATCCCGTGAAACTATTTGGAATTTGGGGGACGGACCCGGGACCCCAGATTTTTGACTCAAAAGTCCGTGTTGAAGATCCAGTCTTGGTGCACTTACCCGACATGGACAATATAAATATCGTTGGAAAGCTTACGAAAATATCTGTCCAACAAGTGGTCACATGATGGTGCATCTGTATAACCCGATTCTAACCAGTTTATTAAAATTATGTTTTCAATAAAAAAGGTTTACTTCGCGTAGCCGTCGTTGGATTACGAAAACATCAAATTTAGAAAACTTTGTCTCGCGTTAGCTGATGTGGGACATACCCAGAGGAGAAAATCTCAAGCCCCGGAAGAAGGCCTGCTATTTACAAAAAGTGTCAAATTTAGAAATCTTTGCTTCGCGTTAACCGGTGTAGGACATGCCCAGAAGGGAAAATCTCAAGCCCCGGGAAAGGCCGGCTATTTACAAAAAGTTTGAAATTTAGAAAACTTTTTGTAATTCCAACGACAGCTACACGAAATAAACCTTTTTTTATTGAAAACATAATTTTAATGAACTAGTTAGAATAGGGTTATATGGATGTTAAGACCCATATCTCTGGACACGAAAAAGGTATTAGCACAGATCGTAGCATTTTGGAAAGGCAAGAGTGTCTGCTATAATTTGGCATCAATTTTCAAAATCGATAATTTGACTATAACTTCCGAACCATGACCACTCTCCACTCCTCTCCATCATGTGACCACTTGTTGGATAGGTATTTTCATAAGCTTTCAAACGATAGGTCACAAAAGGGTCCGGGGTCCGTCCACCAAGAAAAAAAATAGTTTCCCGGAATCAGGGTAAAAATACTTACCTCTGGAAAATTTTTCGAAAAAATCGAAGAGTTTTTACTAAACTAGAGTTGTTCCAAAATTATTTGCCAAAAATTTGACCAGTGTGTCCATAATGTGAACACATATGATCAATTATTTTCCTCTTTTTTGGTCAAACAATTATTTGACGGTGCAAATGTTTAACTGAACTTGAATGTTTGGAAAAAAATTTAATATATAGTCCGTTCCTGAACTTCATGAATGTAAATGTTTTTACAACGATAACCGATTTTCCCTTTATGATATCGAAAAAATTGCAAACTAGTAGATTCTTGCAGGTTCTGGAACAGGCCAATAATTGAAATGAATGCCCATAAACACAAAACAATACTACCCTACTATGATTTTTTGTACAATGATTTATATGCGTACTTATACGCGTACAAATTTAATGAAATGAAATGAAAATTTGCACGTATGGTCGAATCAAGCCAAGGAGTGTAATTTGGTGATTACATTTGATTTAAATTTATTATTTCTATTTAAATTTAAAAATATTTATTTTCTATTTAAATTTATTGTACACCAAATATGTAATGTTAGCCCAAATGGGATGGATCCGATTAGACTTTTAAATCCCCAAATGACACAATATGCAGGCCATAACATTTTTTATAACCTCAACCATATGGCTGGAGAGGGTTATATCATCTGTTACGGTCAAAAGTGCAGGGCATTTGGAGTCGATCTAGCGATGTCCGTCTGTCTGTCTGGCTCGTGCGCACGATAACTCTCGAAGGGAGTATCCCATTTGGTCCAAACTTGGTACATCGAAATATTCTTGTCAAACTTAGATCGAATTTGGAGATGGACAATATCGGTCCACTGCTTCTGGTACTCCCCCACAAAAGGTAAAAATTTTCATAAAAAATAAATTACCGCATTGAAAGAGAATGGATTATCTGATTTTGTTCAAACTTTGCAAATCGGTATATATACGTTACTCCAAGATCAAGTGTGAGAATGGACAAGACCGGACTACTCCTTCTGGCACCTCCCCCACAAAGGGTTCGAATTTTGAATATCTAAAACGCTAATAAAATCCAAAATATACGTCGAATTCCTTTTAAATATATACAAATATTTTACCATTATAAAATCTCCTTCTGGTACCTCCCACACAAAGGGACAAATTTTGAATGACCAAAACGCTCATAAAATGCGAAATTAACATCCGAATTAATCCAAACTTAACACGTCCCAATATTTTTGCCAAAACAACACCTGGCCTCCGTCACAGAGGGTCCAAATTTGGAATATCTAAAACGCTTATAAAATGCGAATTATACATCGAATTCTCTTCAAATTTCACACATACTAATATTTTTATCATTATAAAAATTTGCGTAGATTGGATATAGCGGACCTCTCCTTCTGGTATCTCGGCCAGAAAGGGTCAACACTTTGTATAACCAAAACGCTGATAGAATGCGAAATAAGCATCCAATTATTTGCAATCATCGCACATTCCAGTATTTGTCCGAAAACAATTTGAAAAATAATATCTATTATAAAATGTGAGTCCTATCGTCTTCAAATTTCGCACATCCCCATATTTGTACCAACGCAAGATCAGGTTTGAAGAACGGATAGATCGAACTTTTCCTTTTGGTACCTCACCCACAACGGATCAAAAATTTGAATAACCATTACAATCATAAAAGGTCAAATTATTATCCGATTCTTTCCAAACTTAACACAACTTGAAACAACCTATTAAAATAACCATTTAGCAACGAATATGTTTAGTGCTGAAATCGGCCTAAAGGTCGTAATTATGGCTCGAGTTAGAGTCAAAAGAGAAAGCCTATTGTTTTGCATAATAGGAATCGAAATGGACCAAAAACAACATCATTTAAGAGGTCACAATAAAAGTCCAATCGAGGAGTAATTCTTGAATGGGTTTAGAGTTTAGGTCCACTTCGAATGGACATCGGATAATATTTAGTGTATGTGTTATTAATTATTAGCAATAATTTCAAATATAAATTTAGATTTCGCAATAGGTACTACTTTCTCTAAACAGAAAATTGTCTGTGCAGATCTACGTCTTCGTATAGGCCCCATATAACCGTGACTACCAATATTCGATATTTTGAACATTTTAGCTACTTTTTCAAATGAATAATAACAGACGCCGCTTTTCTGACACGGCATTCAATGGAATTTTTTTACATTTTAAAAATTCATTCCCGATGTATATATGTTTACAGAGGAATAAAACAGGTTTATGTTATGCATCATCACCAGAGATAAATCTACCAATGTTAAATGAATACAAAGAAAACTCCAGATTGTACTTAAGACAAAAATTGTATTTCAAAAAATGTTTTAAAAATAGAATTTATTACAAATTATATAAAATATTTAATTAAATATTATTAAAAATATGTGTTATATGTACGTTTTACATAAGTATTTTGGTAATGTTTGTAATTTAAACTTCAATACATTTTAAATAGTATGTTTTAGTTTATTACATATCTGTTTTTAATGTTATTCATTGGAAAGCCCAAATTCACATAAATATATATATATAAATATTGTTTATACAAAAATAAATATTAAAAAGTTTTCTTTTTTACTTTTGATTTAATATTGAAAATAACTTTAGTTGAAATCTTTTATTTAGTTTTAGTTAAGCATGTTTAGGTCTGTTATGGTCATTTGCTCTGCAAAAGTAAAATATTTATTTAAGATGAAAAATAAATTTTGATGAAAAATTAAGTGAATTGAAGGTTTCCATCCACAACCATTTCTTTATTAATAGTATTAATAGGTTTCAATAATGGCAAGAGTAGAATTCATCATCGAATTTCGTACAAGAGTAGTATTCAAAAAGAAATTCATCATATGGTTAAAAATTATTATTTTCAATGAATTGCAAATAACTAAATCGAAATTATTAGTGTATTTACTCAACAAACAACTGAGTTTATGTATCTTACATGTAATAAATGAATTAAGTGGAATCTTGCCACTTTTTTTGTTGATTGTTAATCCATGTTTTAATCTGAGCTGGTGTTCGCCGGTTTAGACATTTATGTTTTACTGCATCTGCACATTGTTTAAAAGTTGGTAACTTCTCTAAAGTAGTAGGATCACCAAAAATTGACTCGATAGCTTCTCGTTCTTCCCTAGTCCATCTGACTCTTCTTGTTTTCCCAAAAGGAGAAGCTAAAAAAATAAATATTATTAATAAAATTCTAAACAAGTAAATTCAAGCAGTTTGCTACCACTTGCTAACTTTTGTTTTAAATTTAATCATAGATAAAGAACGAAATGGTGTTTGTGTCTCAATGGATAGTACGAAATTAATATATAGTTAATCTATCAAAAACGTAGTGTTTTTAGGCTTACCTTTTTTGCCTTGAGACTTCTTAAATTATAAGAAATATTTTTCTTTTAATTTTTAGTTCTTTTATTTGGATTTTGGGGTAGTGCAATTTTAGATATAAAATAGTTTTAAGTTTTCACTAGTTCATAAGATTTGCTTTATTTAGATAATTATATTTAGTTTGTAATTCAATAGGTTTTAAGTTTTATCTTAATTATAAGTTTTAAGTTAGCAGGTAAGTTTTAGCAATTAGTTTCACAATTATTCTTTTTGTTGTATATTGTATTTGTAGAAAGCTTTTGTTTAACATAGATAATTTTGTAATATTCTGTTTTTTCGTAATTTTGATACCTTTTGTTGTATTTCAATGTTCACTGGTTTTTGTAATATATAAATGTTGTTAGTTTTTTTTTCCTTTTATTTTTGCACAGACACTTGTCACTCGGGGGGGAAACTTGCGCTCGCGACGGTAATTACATGAGAACTGATTATTGCCAAATTTGCATCGTCACATCAAACCTGTTTTGGCTGTTGACGATGCTTAGTTATTAGAATTCAGCATTGGAATTTACCGGTGGCTGCATAAATGTATGTGTGTATGTGTATGTATTTACATTATTTACATCATTTTGTTATGATGCCATTTATGCGGCCGCCGGTAAATGCTCAACCAACAGTGTTGGGCAAATTAATAGCAATATTATGAACATTTTCTGGGCCCCGAATGACAAGTGTAAGTATTCATTTCTAATATACCATAAGGATCCTCGGTCTTTAGTTCATCGGCATGTTCTTGATTGGCCCAGCAAACACGTAGCCCAGTTGAGTATTGTACGCCAGGACATCTCCAATTCCAGCTGCTGTACACCCATCTTTCCTTATGGCTGAGTACGTATCCGCTCCCAGTTCCACATCGATCGGACTATTTCCTCTGGGATCAGGGTCAGCTAAAGCGTAGCTCGTGAAGCATCTAGTGGGGTCTTCTAGTATTGGGTCTGAGTAAATGCGTCTTGGGAGATCTTCGATTATTACGGCATTTACCTTCAGACTCCAAGTACTGTTCGTGCGGCGGGGCGAAACTGTGAAGGTTGTGAATCGCTCCCCTTTGTAGCTCCGCGACTGCAGACCCAGGCGACGGAAAGCTGCATATGAGATCTTGGACATCGTCGCCGATTGGCTAACTATGGCCCGCAACATGCTGAAACCCTCCATACCCTCGGCCGTTATGCGTACCATAGCCGTCGGTACAAATACTAAGTCCCACGCGAAAGCTGGGGTGGTGACGGCTTCTATATTTAGGGATACCTCCTCCAATTGAGACGCCCCGTGCAATAGGGTATGGTGCCGGTCGTTGCATCTCCGGCAACCAGTTAAAGACGGGCAGTCGGGGGCCAAATGACTTCTCGCCAGGCAATTTCGGCAATACCCCCGACGCTCCACGGTCTCATATCGCTGGAAGGGCGTCTGCCGGCGGAACCTCTCACAGGCACTGAGGGCATGGTCTTCTTGGCATAGTCCACATGAGTATTGCCAGTAGCTAGGTCTTTCTTGGCGTTGGCGGGGTCTTACGTCGGATCGACTTCTCTGTCGCCTTTCAGGGGATGTGGAACTGGGTCGATGGATGGGCCGTATGGGTCGATTGGCGCTTCTTGCTGTTGGACGGGCAGGTGAGTCTGGGCTACGGTTGCGATCGTCCAGACGGCAGTCCTGGTTGGGCAAGTAAGCGGCCATATCTGAAAAGAAATTAAGGCGAGTACTAAATTCTTTTTTGAGTGGGAATCCGACTAGTCAGTCGGAAAACAATTTGACAATTTTTGTAATGGGTCTGCTAATGTTGCCACTTGCCGTCCGTATGTCTACAACCCTGGTATTTTGGTCACTACCTGGATACGTTTTTTCGATACGACCTAACTTCCATTCATGCGGAGCCAATCTATCATCTTTTACGACAACTAAATCTCCTTCTTTGATGTTCTCCTTTTCATATTTCCACTTAGTTCTTCTGTGAAGTTCGTGAAGATATTCTAATTTCCATCTGTTGCAAAAGTATTGTGAAATAACTTTGAGTCTTTTCCAACGATTGACTAAGCTTAAATCTGTATCTGAAATGTCTGGTTCAGCTGGGGTAAGAATAGGTGTTCCTATTAAGAAATGACCAGGTGTCAAAGGGGAAAGGTCGTTTGGGTCGTCGCTAGCAGGACTTAAGGGTCGTGAGTTAAGGCAGCCTTCAATTCTTGATAAAATAGTTGTAAATTCTTCAAAAGTGAAATTCATTTTTGGGATACTTTTTCGTAAATGAGTTTTAAATGATTTGACGCCAGCTTCCCACAAGCCGCCCATGTGCGGAGCACCAGGAGGAATAAATTTCCAAGTAAGATTTTGAGTGAAATTATTTTGAATTGTGCTATTTTGAATATTCTTCATGAAAGCTAGTCTATCTCGCTTTAATAGATCAACCGCTCCCACAAAGTTTGTTCCGTTGTCCGAAAATATACAAGACGGACAACCTCGCCGGCTAATAAACCTAGAAAAAGCGGCAAGAAAGGCATATGTCGACAAATCGCTTGTTGGTTCTAAATGTATAGCCTTAGTGGCGAAACAGACAAAAATGCAAACGTAGCCTTTTGTAATAAAGCAGGCTCTTCCTGAGTAACTTTTAATGTTAAAGGGTCCTGCAAAATCTACCCCTGTGTTTGTAAAGGGTCGAGAAAGAAAAGTTCGTTCGGGTGGTAGCGACGCCATGATTTGAGTTTGGGTTTGTTTTTTGTGAATTAAGCAGATTCGACATTTTCGTATGGTTTGTTTGATAAGCGACTTGAGTCCAAATATCCAGAATTCGGACCTTAATACTCGGGTCATTAATTGATTACCCCCGTGTAAAGTAATCTTATGAGTGAATTCGACTAATAATTTGCTAAGTTTTGCGCCATGTGGTAATATTATTGGGTGACGTTCGCTATAGGTAAGGGCTGGCGATTGTACCAATCGGCCATTTGCTCTAATAATACCCTTTGAGTCTAGAAACGGGTTGAGTGTCAAGAGAGGACTTGAAGGAGAAATTTGAGTCTTTTTCATAAGTGCGTTGTATTCGTCTGCATATACGAATTTTTGGGTACGAATTATACAAGATCGTTTTCCATCTTGGATTTCATCTGATGTAAGGTCGTTTGCTGAAGTGCGAAGGTGTTGTCTATTTACCCCAGAATTTTTCCAGAGTCTTAGAGCATATGCGTATGATCGATAAACCTTAGATAAAGAGGAGAAATGTTTTAAAGGGTCTTCCTTTTCTGCGAAAAGGGTCATGACTTTTGCCGTTTTGGCTTCCAAATTTGTGTCATTTGGGATTTCATACGATGGCCAACGGTCTTTTGGCATTCTGAGCCATTGAGGTCCCTGCCACCAGAGATCACTAGTCTTTAGCTCTGCGGGTGAACATCCACGGCTCGCAATATCAGCTGGATTATTTTCCGAATCAACATGTCTCCAATTTTCTTGTCCAACATTATCAGCAATTTCCGAGACTCTATTTCCAACAAATGTGCTCCAATGACAAGGAGGCTTTTTTAACCATGCTAAGACGATGGTAGAATCGGTCCAAAACTGTGTCGAATATTTTGATATCTGTAGGCTATTTACAATGGATTTTGCTAACTTTGATAGTAATACTGCCCCGCATAACTCGAGTCTGGGTATTGATAATTTTTTAATTGGAGCGACACGAGTCTTTGCTGCTAGCAAGAATGTATGTGTGGTATGGTCAGTATTTTCCACCCGAATATAAAGAGTGGCTCCATATGCGCTTTCTGATGCGTCACAAAATCCATGAATCTCTACAGAACCATCTAGCGTGTATTGAATCCATCGAGGAACTCTGAGATATTCAATATCTTTGCTATTTTTGACAAAATTGTTCCAGTTCATTTGTGTTATTGGCTTTAATTGATCATCCCAGTCAATTTTGTCTAGCCAGATTTGTTGCATTATTAACTTAGCTACGACAACTACCGGTGCCAGCCATCCACATGGGTCAAACAATTTGGCTATCGTTGATAAAACTTCTCGTTTTGAAGATACATTTTTATTTTCCATTGAGGGTGGTGTAAACGAAAAATAATCGCCTGAGATATTCCATCGAATTCCAAGGGTCTTAGTTGAAGCATCTTCGGAAATGTCTAGCCAATTGAGTGGTAGCAAATGTTCATGTGGAATATCTTGTATTATTTTTCGATCATTTGATGCCCATTTCATTAGTGTAAAACCGGCAGAGTCTAAAGCAGCAGTTAATTCTTTTCGAGCTTTTATTGATTCATCTTCAGTGTGACCGCCAGCTAATACATCATCAACATACAAATTATTCAAAATTATATTTGCGGCTCTAGGGTATGATTCTTTTACATCTTCTGCTAGTTTAAGAAGAGTTCTCAATGCTAAATATGGTGCGCAGTTAACTCCAAATGTAACTGTTAGCAGCTCATAATCTTCTACTGGGTTTTCCGGAGACTTTCTAAAGAGAATTCTTTGATATTTCGTTTGCTTTGAATCCAAAAGTATTTGGCGATACATCTTTGTTATATCTGCATTGAAGGCATATTTAAAAAATCTCCATTTTAGAATTTGTAGTACCAAATCTTGTTGTAAAATGGGTCCCGGAAACAATATGTCATTGAGACTTGTTTTGTTTGATGATGGGCAAGAAGCATTGAAGACGACTCTTAACTTTGTCGTGATTCGATCTGGCTTAATTACTGCATGATGTGGTAGATAATAATTTGGCATTTTATCTATTTCATTCGGATTGATTTTCCTCATATGACCAAGTTCTAAGTATTCTAGTATTGAG